TGGATGTGTGGGTGGAGGATGAGGTCACTAACATATATGGTTCGATAGTGTTCCGGGCTGCTCATGATCGGGCCAAGGACATGCGAATCTGGTCGGGAGAGGCGAAACGTAAGCAATAGTTCTTTGTGACGAAGCATTTCTCGTGGGCTCTGAGCTGCGCTCGCTCATTATGGTTATGATACATTTGATGTGACAATATGATTGTTCGATCCGATGGGCTGCATGTGACGTAGGACAGGATTTTGGCTTGGTCTTTCTTTATTTCGTTCTCGTACTCCGTACAACATACTATAAATCTATAAATCTATTTTAAGACTAGAGGAAGAATATGATAGTTATATAGTGGTGTATTAAATCTGACAGGTGAAGTCCAAATCTCATGGATATGCCCCATGTGGAGACATGAGATCTGGACCCATGGAAACGGAATGTTGATATATCAACCCATTTGTATAAGCAGTTTCATACATATTTTGATTTTCTGTCTTCAATTGAGTATAAAATCAACCGAATCGAGGTAATTCATATACAGGCATTTGTTTCTTATTATATTACGAAGTGTCCCGTAAGTATATTGTATGTTGTACTTCCATCAAACAATTCTGTAACCGTGAAGTCAACGATCAGGAGAAACCCCGCGTAAGGGCCAAAGTGAGACTTCCCCACGGGCCCAATCCGATTGGTGTGAGTGTGATGTTAGTTGAGAGCGAATGTGAATTGATCGTCGTGCTAAGGAGCCTATCGAATCTAGCCTCGAAGGGGCTGGGAAAAAAACCCCCTCCCAAAAAAAAAAACAGAATAGTGAAGGCATGTTTGAAGTTCAACTCCATACTTTTTCTACTCCGTAAATGTTTCTTCCATTCTTCGATTCTTCCATTCCTTACTTTTCATGACAACTGTCCCTACTTCACCAAAACAAATAACTACATAAGTGGGGCCTGAGACTGTAACCCTTTTTTCTTACTTTTTTGGTGATCGACTCGTCACAATTCGTTTGCGACATCACCCTCACTTCGTTTGACTCCCAGTCCCGCCTTTTCCTCCCTTGACTCTTGGGTTTGGAACTGGGACACCCCTCTATGCCTTGATTCGAGTCTATTGATTCTACCAAACCTACCTGGCACTCCACAGGTTCGACCGAACCAGCTTCTGATTGCTCCCCACCTGCAACACATCTGCATCCCTCGCATCGGGCCTGCATCTTACCCACCGCCATCCAACCGCTTATCCAATTGACATCGATTCACCTGGATCCATCCGTTAATCCTCCGATGCGGCTGGTGGATCGTGCAGGAAATTGTTACCGTGGTGTCCACTGATTGTCCAGAATACAGCTGTGCCACGTCCAAACAGGGAAACTGGGGGCTTCTTGCGGCACGTCAATTATGCGCATTCGGTAAACATTATGCCGGCTGCCATTATGGATGAAAAAACTCAAAGAAGGAGCTCGGCCGCTGGTCAGCCTGCGCCTTCGCAGTCCGTATATCATCCCCGGGCTGCTCCCAAACGAAGCGTTTCCTCTAAAGATCACACCTCCAGTACGTGATCCTGGAACCTGCACCTGGATGAATTGAGTTTCACAACTCAGGGTTAATAAATTAAAGCTGACATTGCTTCTTCCTTAAGACTTGCCAGGGCGTCCTCAGCACCCATCACTTTCCCGCGTCAAGGGCCGAATCAATATGTTTACTCCACCTCGAATGAACGCAGAGGTCTCGTGGTTGAGAGACCAGTCACCTGCTCACCGGGACACAAGGACACCAACCCGCTCATCTGGTATGTCTTCCAATTGCCAGCAACGTTGCATGGCTCTAGAGCGCAAGTGACTGATTATTTGTGCCTCAGAAACTCCCGAACCTGGCACCCCTACGCTAGTAAACCCTGCCTCCGCCCTCTTGCAGGATTTACTGAAAGAAGAACGGGCACACCGAAGCTCCCGAGGAACCATGTCAGAGGATTACAAAGAAAATGCGCCTCAGACTCCCGAGACAACTCGTACTCAGGAAGATACTGCATCCGAAAAAGCACGCAAAGTGAATGATGTCTTCTCTGCCGGCCAGAGAAAACCGAAAGAGATGGGCATGCGAGAAATGGACCAAGTAAGTTCAGGAGCACGAGAACCCCCATGTACACTAGCTGACTTGTTTAAAGTATGTCTCGAAAATGAACAGGCTCAATTTCGATTTGAAGCTAGAGGTTTTCCACCGCACACAACAGATGGCTGTATATGAAAAGAAGCTGGAACGTATGGCGGATATGGAAGAACAATTAGCGCACATGGACGATTTGGTAGCAGAAGTGGAGGAGCTTCGAACCACCGAGAAAGAGAACCAGACCCTCCGTGAATCCAACGAGCAACTCCGCATTGACCTTGACAAGAGAGACCTGGCTGTTACCGAAGCTGTCGAGCTCATCTGCCAGTTGGAATCGAAAATCGACATGCTGGAGAATGGCGGCCGCGGCTCCAGGCTGTCTATGTCACGCCCTATGACTGCCGATGGCTCCGAAGCCTTTGCGCCAAAATCCCGTGCTATGATCGATATCCCGGAGAGAACCTCTTCCAAGCGAAATTCAAGTATCTTGAGCGTAGCTCAGCGCCAGACATCCTCTGAGCTGCGCAAACTCTCGAAAGCACCCTCCTTCCTACGCGCGGATAATAAAAGTACTGCCACTTTGCGAAGTCTTTATGCCCCTGAAGAAGAAACCCAGTGCTCTGCAAGGACTGAGCTTTCGAAATCAGAGAGCTTCCACACGACCACCGACATTATGGAGCCTGAGTCACCTAGACTGAGCGTCCTGAGCGAATGCAGTGAGCTGAACCCGTTCGACACCCCTACGAGGTGGCAAGAATTTGATCAGCTCGAGATCCCTGTTCGGAGATCGTTGTCGACCGCCGGCAGCTTGGATAGCTATGTCCCCCCCAACCGTCGGGACGAAACCAAAGAAGACCAGATCGATCGGTGGATTCAGTCTCGCGAAGATGTAAACCAGACTATCATCACGCGACGCAGGACCCGAGCATCGTCTGATGCCACCAAGGCTAGCATTCCCAGTTTTTCAACAGACTTGTATGCTCCCAAGCCGCGTGGACGCGGAAGACTGGATGCATCTCTTTTCGGGGGCGTCAGGCTTCCTCCCACCCCTGACACTATGAGTACGGCAGGTGCTACCGGGGCAAACCGATCGCATGGGTCGAACGGTTCAAATGGGAGCATTAGAGCCCGAAAGAGTCCACAAACTGAGCAGGATTTGTTTTTCCCTGGCAGACGAGTCAATCGTCCACGCTCCGCGGAAGAGATGGCCAGTCACTACAGCTTCGATGGCAGTGAGGTTGACGATAGCATGCAAACCAACTGCAGTGATACTCCGCGCCTAGGACTCTCAGCCGACGAGTCGCGCACCATCTTACCCTCCTTCAATACTGTTTCTTCTAAAGCCAGCGCGCTTCTTGGGCCCGGAAGCCCCAACAACCCTGTCATTGAGACCTTTGAAGCTCAGTGCCACGCAAATGTCAACGCAGCATCAACCCCAACCATTAAACGTGTTCGAAGCCCAATCAAGGCTATGACCCCTGAGCCGCCGCATACCAGTGACCGCGACTCTTCACCACTTACACCTCAAGACTGGGTTGCCGCTGCAAAGCAGACTCCAAGGTCTCGCAAGCCTAGGCCACGTGATACTTGTCACGACATTCAACAGACAGAGCTGTCACCCCGCACTATCAACAGTCCCGCTACATTCCACGACAACAGCAGCATCGCTTCGGATCCAAGTGAGCCTGAGGTCCCTGGTATCCCAACACTTGACATGACCACTCTGGACATCCTGGAACAACCCCTCGAAATCGCCCAGTCACAGGTCAAACCCGAAGCCAGTCCTGAGCCCCGTCGACGCCTCAGCTTCATACCGCCATTCTTCAATCGCTCAAATAATCCCCGTCAATCACAAGGCTCCCCAATTCCAAACGATTTCGAAGACGACGACGAGGATGGCGCCCCATCTCCGGTAATCCCCAAAACCAGAACAATGGGCGGCGCCTCCCGAAGACCTATGTCGCAAATAACCACCGCCCCAACCGACCTCTATCCGTCCAACCCCCCAATCCACATCCACAATGAAGAGTCGCTCTCGGCCTTCAGACCGCGAGGATTTGCTCAATCCTTGACAATGTCAACACATGTCGACCAACCCGGCTCTGCCACAGTTTCAGGACGCCCCTCCACATCCCATGGCATTGAGGTGGAACACAAGCGACGCAGCTCGCTGGGTATCTTTGGCTGGATCAAGGGTAAACGCTCTGATTCCGTGACTGTTCCCGGGACGGAGAAGTCGGGTGACTCTACACAGAAAGAGACCCGCGCTCCCTCGCGTCTAGCCTACGAAACTACACATGGACTTGGGATCCCCCGTGCTGAGACGCCGGACTCCATGGAGGCCCACGTAAGACCTCACCCTGAGACGGCTATTCAGGCCGATGAGTATGCGAGACGGCCTCGGTATATGGGTCGTCGTGCTCGCAGGGGCTGAGCTTCTTATGGACCCTTGAAGGACCAAGCTAGTACCGCCTCACTATCAGTTCATTATTCTCTCACTTCTTCATTTTGTACTATATGATACCCAGCGCTGTATGCTACATTGGTTTTTGGTTTTTTTGCTCTTACTATTTGTTCACTTCCCAGAGGCATTTGGCGTATTATGAGCTCTTCTCATTTCATCTGTTATGCTTCCTTTCTTGATGTATGCGAATGATGACGACACTGGGCTTCTGCAATCTTGTCAATTTGATGTCAATCCCGCTGGTAGGGTTAAGGTTAATCTGAAACGTGTTACATCGTCCAATATGCTACTATCATCCGAAAGTAAGGATTGTACTACAAGTAATTACGAAGTGAAAGTTATCTCAATGGATGCAACTAGGCATTGTGCTACCTAGTTGAGACAGATGTTATGGATCACTGGCCAGGTGACCCATCCCAATCTCCCCCCGCGCCCTCAGGCCCCTACTGACTCTTTGGAATCATTCCAGGGGCCACGTGCAGAGTGCCGTATGTGGCAGGGTGCCTCTTCTAGTAGAAGTAGATATTAACAATGCATCAAAGAAGGAAGTAAGAATGATATCTTACGATGTGCGTCATGGCGATGTGACGCCTCAGGTTCGAGGCCATCACCCTCTTTTCGGCCCTGTTGAACTTGTCACAGTAGGGGCATCTGAGGGCACAGGGGGAGATTACCTAGAAAGGAAAGAGGTTAGTGTCAATGACTTGGGGGAATGAGTATTTATTGGATTGAGATACGAACCAGCTCGGCATGGTCGACGGGCCACCACCTCTCGCGGTGGTCTGGGCAGTTGCACAAGAGTTTGTTGGGCTGTCTGATGATTTGTCAGTGAGATGAGATCAATTGAGAGAAATAGAAACTTACGCGAACCCTTGGGGCTGGGAGTCGCGTACTCTCCAGTAGCTGCCGTTGGGTGTGGGTGTGGGAGTGCTAGTAGGGCCAGTGTTAGCCCTGGTGTTAGGAGTGCCAGGATTAGCGCCAGTGCTGGAACCAGGTCCAGGGTTCAGGGCAGGGTTGACGTCCAGGCCAGGTTGGTTCAGACTCGGGTCAGGGGGGTGGTTCAGGCTCAGGCCATTGTCGATGTCTGGGTAAGCGCTTGGGTCAGCGCTTGAGTAAATGCCTGGGTAATTGCCCAGGTAAGTGCCCAGGTAAGTGCATGGGTCAGCACCTGGGTCAGCGCTTGAGTAATGGATTGGGTAAGTGTTTGAGTTAGGGTTTGGTTGGAAAGAAGGCATCATGATGGATAGATATCGCTGGTGCGACTTGAAAGACTTGAAAGCGTGTGGTTGTGCTGGGAAAAGAAGAGGAAAAGTGAGGGAAAAGGAACGGAAATGAACAGAATTTATCGCACTTTCGATAATGGCAGGCAGCCAGTGTTCAATAATGTCAGTAGACAATGTCAATAGACAATGTTAATAGGGTGATGGACGTGTTCTATCAATGTCCCAGGTATCTAGAAAGAGGTAGTCACAACAAGCTAGTTATTAGTTATGAACTTAACTGATATTCACTCATGAACACGGTTAGTTCTTGATATGTGTGCTAGAGGAGACTGCAATACTCATCATGGAGTGCAAAAATATCAATATCAAATTGGCCACCCCAATCTTGGGAGCAAACATCCAAACGAAATCATCCATACCATCCAAATCATCCAAATGATTGGTTTTGTTCCCAACTCCATGCAGGGTTTTCCAGTTCACCAAACGCCCAAAAAGACAGACATGATATGTTTGAAAAGCACTGAAAAAGAGCTCAAAACGAATCCCCCTCTATATCCTAATACCACCGATTTCCCTCCTCCCCAAGCATCTTCTTCTTCGGATTCAGGGAAACAACTCGCTGGCCAGGAAGCGTGTCTGCCGTAAAAGCTGCCTCGAAGATACTTGCAATCCCACGTTTAGCATAGTGTGCAAAAGAATCATAATCATCTCTCTTCCCATTTATAGCCCCCCACTCAATCCCACCAGGTGTAGTCCCATCTCCAAGATCACTCCACCGTGTAACAACGATAGATTGCTTGAACCGTCGATCCACTAGATCCTCACTCAGCTTAACCTCCATCAAATACTCAGTTGGACATTCAGGACACCTTCGCATCGGCCGACAAAACCCACACAGCGTCGTCAGCGCATTCGGATCAAACACCTGTCCCGCAACTCGGTCTTTCACCCGATGCTCCAGTCCCTGCAACCCACTGCTACTCCGCGGTCGCGGGATATGCTCCAGCGCACACTTGCATGCCGGCATCAACTCACCGTCTCGCCAGTGTGCGCATACGCTAAAGTACGGACAGTAGTCATCACGTGAGTACAGCAGCATACGCTGCGCAGACGGCGTGAGAGCCGGCGCCGCGAAGGTTTGACTGGTGACGCGCATTAGGAGCCGTCCTTCGTGGACGTGGAAGCGTGATGTATGTGACCAGTTATCGCGCTGCCAGCGTCGGCCGAGGGCGTCTGGGGCCAGCCCGTAGCTGGGACCGAAGCGGTGAGCGCGCATGGCTAGTTGCACGAATGTGAAAGGGAGATTGCGGCCGTGGGTTATTCGGTGGCGGGGCGGGGGTTTTAGAGCGTTTGTTGAGTTTCGGCAGTTGAAGAGCGGGTTTAGGACGTGGCTTGGACGGATGCGTTCGTTTCCTTCTTGTGTGCGTCTGTGGTATTGGGCGCAGGGGAAACAGAGGAGGTGGTGTGGGAGGGTGATGTCGAGGCCGGAGAGGAAGTTGATTTTGTGGGTGTGGTTGTCTGGATGGTTTAGTGCCATGAGGTATCTTGGGCCTAGTCTTCGGTATAATGTGATGGTGGTGATTGCTAGGCTTGCTGCTTCGGCGGGATTCAGGTACTCTGCTATTTCCGCCCATAGCTTTCGTGAGAGACTTGCTATGTCGCCCTCGCCTGGGGGTCGATGTTCATTGGTCTCGTTTCCTGCGGCGCTGGGATCGTCGACGTCGAGTGTGCCAAGCGAATGGATGATTTCTGTGTAGTCCCTTCGCTCACCCAATTGTGAGTCTACTGCCGCGTGCAATTCCTTGTATTTGAGTCTATGCGCATGCAATGGAGCTATCTCTGGCATTGGAGGGGCTTCTTCGACACTGGAGCGCGCGGCCAGCCGCAGGTCTGTGGTCGATTTGCTCCCTTTGCGGAGGGTTTGGCGAGATTTCTTAGGACGCAATGCATTGGAGAGGAATGACTTGAAGCCATTCCTCTGGCCAGGACTTTCTGCCGACATTATGGAGTTGCCGATGAATAGAAGTGTTCGAGGCCCAGATGGAGAATATCAGTCTTGTGTTTCGGATGCTTGCGGTCTTTTTTCGGATGCTTGCGGTCGGTCCGTCCGGCCCGGTCTAGTTGTACAACATTGGTTGATACTTGAATGGAACAAGAAATAGCTAAATACGATGATCTTATATTATCAAATAGTTGATGATGTGGCTACTAGGCTTCTAAGGACCAAAGAGAGAGCGAGAGAAGAAATGTTGGTTTCTACAAACACATAGTTACGGAGAGCTACTTATGTAGCTGGCCAGCCTGACAAACTAGGCCTGATGAATCAGGTGTCCATCCCAAAAGTTGATAATATTGAAAAACACATGCTACAATACAGGGGTAATTAAGCGCAAGCCATTGGAGCAGCATTTACAAATCAATTAGACTGGGTCATTTAAGCGAAGCGCTTCTCAGCTGCCTTCCAGTTGATCACATCCCAGATGGCGGAGAAGTACTCGACCTTGCGGTTCTGGTATTGGAGGCTAGAGAAATGATTAGTATAGGCAATGGATCGTCAAAGGAGGAATTCTTACTAGTAAGCGTGCTCCCAAGCGTCAATACCGAGCAGAGGCTCGAACTGACCGACCACGGGGTCCTGGTTCTAGTAAGGGGTTAATAACTAGTTCATCTCAAAGCCGAAGCGGGTAATCTCCAATCATGACTTACGGCATAGGTGCGGATTCCGATCTGTCCGGTCTGCTTGTCCTTCACGAGCCAAGCCCAGCCACTGCCCTGAATGCTAGCCAGAGCAGCGTTCATCTTGGACTGAAACTCGCCGACGCCACCGTAGGTGGAGTCAATGGCCTTGGCCAGAGCACCAGAAGGGGGCTCACCACCGCCGGCACTCTTGGGGGCAAGGTTCTCCCAGAAGAGAGTGTGGTTGAGGTGGCCACCACCGTGGAAGTTGACAGCGGGCTTGAGAGCGATCTGAGCAGCGATGTCGCCCTTAGCCTGGGCCTCCTGCAGCTGCTCAAGGGTGTTGTTGTAGCTGGTGACATAGGTGTTGTGGTGGTTCTTGTGGTGAATCTCCATGATCTTGCCGGAAATGGAGGGCTCAAGAGCGCCATAGTCATCTTGTTTTAGAGGTTAGTCTAATTCTTTTTACTCCAAATATATAGATATAGCTTTTCTCTGGCTCTAGAAGGTACTGCGACACCAAACTTACAGGAAAGGTCGGGGAGGGTGGCCTTGCCGCGGGCAAAGGTCAAGCCCGCAGCTCCAGCCTTGGAGGTAGCCGAAGCTCCCGAGCGAAGGGCAACGCGGGCCGAGTTGTTAAGAAGAGCAGCAGCCATTGTGAATGTACGTATTGAAGATGAATATGCGGTGAAAAGGAATTAAGAGGGTGTCAATTATGAGAGATGAATGAATTGAAAGGGAAAAAAGTGGCCAGCCGAGCTATGAAGTAACCGACCCTAACCACCCTCACGTCATCTTGTTTTCGTCAGGCCGGATGTTCGTAATTCCGTTCCGGATCCCCACGTGAATTTCATGAGCTCTGGACCGCGACTCATTCTCCCAGGACACTACCGCTTACTTTTACACTTTCGCTGAAAATTGAGGGGGACAGTCGATTTGGCTACAACTTGCTAATGACCCCCTGAAAAGATGGAGTCGCCTTCGTTCTCTGGTCAGAAGCGCAAGGTCGCTGACATGAGCTCTGATGAAGAAAGTACGCGCCCGACCACCGGCTTTCGAGGTTTCGCCAGAGCTGCCTCTCGTTCAGTGACGCCTCCCACCATGGGTGGACTAGGTAGCGGAACCCACAATAACCGCAACACCATGGCCAACCCTCGAGGTGGAGGATCGTCACGAGGCGGGAAAGGCATGGGAGGTGGCGGTGGAGGGGGAGGAGTCAACAGTTTTGCCGCGCGCATGATGGCAAAGATGGGCTACAAGGAAGGCCAAGGTCTCGGAACTACTGGGCAGGGTATCGTCAACCCGATTGAGGTACAGGCGCGACCCCAGGGTGCAGGCTTGGGCGCAGTGAGTGAGAAGTCGAAAAAGACTCGCGAAGAAGAGCGACGAGCAGCTGCACAGAAGGGCGAGGTCCTCGAAGACAGCTCCGAAGATGAACGGCAGCAGCGGCGAAAGAAGAAGGAGGAGCGCAAGGCACAGGGCCGGAGCGCCACAGGTACACCGATCCAGCGTGCGAAGCCCAAATTCCGCACAGCGCGTGAAATTGAGGATGATATGGAGGGTCTGGAAGTTCCCAATGTTCTCAAATCACTTGTCGATGCTACCGGAAAAGAGCAGCGTGTTCTCACTTCGACTGCTGGTCTGATGTCGACACAGCAATTCGTCAGTCAAGAGGAAGGAGAAGCATTCAAGATCGCCCAGCGAGCCCGGAATGACCTGGAAGCATTTGCGGATGAATGGAAGGGATTGAAAGAGAGAAAACAGTACATCGAACTGGAAGAGGCTCAGGTCGTGGACGAGTTGGATGCATATCAATCCCGGATCAACCATCTAACAGGCCTGATCGCCGCAGTGGAAGAATTAGACATCTTTGAAAATGAGGAAAGCATCACAACCAAATTAGATGAGTTGACGACCAAGCTTGAAGATGTTGAATCCAAATATCGAGATGCTGTTGATGAGCACCGACTCCCAGAGACCGCAGTCGCGGCTCTACATCCGTTATTCCGCCAAGCCATGGAGGAATGGGAGCCTCTCCAGGATCCGACCTTCCTCGTGTCCAACCTCACCCGTCTTCAGCCTCTTCTGTCTCGGACGAACGAGTTAGAAGAGCCCCGGAAACGTGCATCCACCTCACCTTACGAAACGATGATCTATACCCTCTGGCTTCCACGAGTGCGCTCAGCACTTCTGAATGATTGGGACGTTTACGATCCGTCCAAGGCAACCGCGCTGGTCGTGGCCTGGAAGGCAATTGTACCGCCATTTGTGTATGCAAACGTTCTCGACCAATTGGTCATTCCCAAGGTGGGCCTGGCGCTCAAAAACTGGAAACCTCGAGCTAGCCGACGACACGCCCACTCTGAACAAGATGGAAAGTTCCCCTGGTGGCTGTTCACTTGGCTTCAATACTTGGATGAACGACATACAAACCCGAAACAGCCCACTGGTCTCATGTCTGATGCGAAGAGAAAGTTCCGCTCGGTACTCGATACGTGGAGTCTGCACAAGGGTCTGGTCGATCACGTTGAGATCTGGCGGGATGCCCTAGGATCCGAATTCGATGTATGCCTACGCAACCACCTGCTGCCACGTCTTGCGCGCCACCTTCGCGAACATTTCACCGTGAACCCGCAAAATCAAGATCTCACGGCGCTCAAGGATGTCCTATGCTGGAATGTATTCTTCAAGCCTAAGGTCATGGGACTATTGCTAGTCTCTGATTTCTTCCCAAAGTGGCACGAGATTCTCTACATCTGGCTCACCAACGACCCCAACTACGAGGAGGTCGGATCCTGGTACTCTTGGTGGCATACTCAGATTCCGGCGGAGGTCAATGAGCTTATCATGATCGACGAAGAATGGAACAAGGGTTTGCAAACTATGGACCTTGCCTTACAGCTGGGCGACCGTGCCGCTGCTGAACTCCCACGCCCAACTACGGTACGGGCGACGCTTCCTACCCGAGAAGATAAGGTGGCGGCAGCCGCAGCTACTGCCGCAGCGGCTGCTCCCGAACCCCGTATTAAGGCGCCAGTTGTGGAAGAAGTTGCGTTCAAGGACATCCTCGAGGGCTGGTGTTTGGAGCAAGGGCTTATCATGCTACCCTTGCGGGAGGCTCATCCACAAAACGGCCAGCCGTTGTTCCGTATTACGGCTAGTGCCACAGGCAAGGGTGGAGTCGTGGCGTTTGTTCAAGGAGATGTGGTGTGGGTGCAGAATAAAAAGGCGAAAGATATTTGGGAGCCAATGGGTCTGGAGGATCAGCTGGTACAACGTGCAGAAGGCCGATGAGTCATGGCCGGTAAAAATGTACCTAGCTATTCAAGATATCCAACCTTTGCTCCAAGTGAGCTTACAGTACATATTGCAGAGCCTCCCTGGATATGTAATCCAAGCTAACTACCTACTTCTTGGTCCGTCTCCAGTACAACCAGGCGTTCAAGCAGGACTGCACCACCTAGATATCATCCCCTAATGTTTTACATGATGTCATGTGTGACTAGGAAGGAGAATGTACATCGTGCTATTCCAAGTTTGAACATGCAACCCTGCTGTAAATTACTAGGCTTCGGCTCCAACCTATCCAATAAATCAAAGACATTTCCATAATTTTCCAAGGATTTAGGGGAAAGACAACAGGGGTGTGTAGGATCAGGTCTCCCACGCTTTTTGTTCAGTGTCTTTGAATTCCCATAATGCCAAGCAATCCAAACAAAGACTGTAATGATGTTTTAACTGACGAATGCCAAGTTGTGGCAGACACTATATATCCCAAAGGCGTATCTAACTCCGATCGGATTTAAGAATCTCGGGATATTCGTTCTTTCCAAGGTTTCTCCGGTTAATTCTCGGAGATGGTAAACTCCGTGAATTTTCCGAGATCCGAATACTAAGAGCTAAGCATATACGGAGTACGGAGTACGGAGTAAAGTGATCTCCTTGTTCAGAGCTATGTTGTATAATGTACATTATCGGACTTAATATCAAAATGGGAGAGAACTGCGATCCTTCCGAGTCCTCCTATTAAGGTGGTCAACCAATCAGCATCCTCTGAATAAGCTAGTGGGTCTTCAGATCTCCAATGGATCCACCGGGAATGTGGATTGCCGTTCACAGCCAATCACATCACCGACAAAGGTCATCACAACATGCTTCACCAATCGTATCGATTGGATTTGAAGTGACTTGTTGCCATTTTCTCATCAAAGTGGACAAATCTTATGCCTTGCACCTCCTTGACCTTCATTTGACTGTCATAGCTGACATTTGAGAGCTATGTGATTGGTCCTGGACCCATCCTTGGCGAATATACCTCCATTATTTCCTGTTTGGTTTGCATAAACTGTGGGCTTTTTGCTGGGTGCTTTTTTTTTTCTATGGCGCCTAGATTGCTGAGACCGGTGAGAGTCCGTGGAACTGGGTGTTAAAAGGAGTGAGACACGGCCGATCATTGTAGATGATTTCTTTTTTTCTTTTCTTCATACTTCGTTTCATAGTGTCTTTGTTGATATCCATCTAAGACCAAGACACCCATTCCGGATGCTTTTGCTGGATCAAATAAAGTGCAATTATTATCCAGCTTTATCTTCTTCAGCTCATTTTATTCCTCTCGCCAGCTTGTAATTGAGTGGTGAAACTTCTGCTATACATCGTACCTCGGAGATATCCAAAAGCATATCGTGGTAGCAGCTTCGGATCAGCACCATGGCATTCCTCTTCATCAAGCAGAAACTCTTCCCTACAAAGGAAACAGACAAAATACACTCAGGTAAGTAAAGGAAAGAGAATACATACGCACGGAGGCATATACTTATGACAATTCAACTCCAGGCAAGCGCCTCCTCGCCCACAGTGACGACGATGATACCATCCATGGGGACTCCAATCAAGATCTCGAGTCCCAAAGCAGCCGCTCCTATGACACCTTCGGACGGTGCAACAGCCCGGACGAATCAACAACAACAACCGCCAGCAACAGCAGCAGCACCCGCTCGCGAATCAACCCACGCATCGTGTCAGATGCCATCCTCGGCCTCTCAGACGGGCTGACAGTGCCCTTCGCGCTGAGCGCAGGTCTTTCTGCACTCGGAAACACAAAAGTGGTAGTGCTGGGTGGACTGGCGGAGCTGGCAGCTGGTGCCATCTCCATGGGACTTGGTGGATACGTCGGTGCAAAGAGTGAAGCGTAAGTTTTCCACATATGGCAACCAAATCAGAATATATACTAACAGACACCAGTGAATCATATCAAACAACAGTCCGTGAAACACAACATTTGATCCAAACGGACTCACAAGAGACTCGTGCCATGGTGCACGAGACCTTCTCTCCATACGGGCTCTCAGAATCGGCGGTTGCGGATATCACGCGTGACCTGCATGCGTCTCAAGACCGTCTCCTTGAGTTCCTGCTTGCTTTCCATCATCGAGAGATGGCGCCTGACTGTAACCAGGCGTGGACTTCGGCCATCACTCTCGCCCTGGGTTATTTTATTGGCGGGTTCATTCCGCTTATTCCGTACTTCATTGTCGAGCGGATTACGATTGCGCTGTACTGGAGTATTGGTGTTATGGCCATTACCTTGCTTGTGTTTGGATATGTTAAGACCTGTGTTGTACGCGGCTGGTCTGGCCGGGCAAATGTGCAGGCTGCGATCTGGGGCGGAGTACAGATGTGCTGTGTTGGAGGTGTCGCTGCTGGTGCGGCCATTGGATTGGTTCAGTTCATTGATATGGGCAGTGCCAATACTTGACAACCTGATTGTGATGGTACTGATGATGTTCACGTTGCATTGAGCGTTCATGCATTGCAGCAGCCGGAGTTTCTTTTGTTTCTCTCTACTCCTACTATTTTTCATTATGGGTTGGCTCGTTTATGGGTCTATTAGCGGGCGTTGCGGAAAACGCTGCAAAAAGCCTTGCTTACAAAATACACATTTGACGAAACATAATTCATTTCACATTGACGATATCAAGTTACATGACTTCAAATCCAAAGACATTTGTACTGGTTACCTCAGATAGATGGATATATAAAACAAAGGAACCCCTAAATCCTAACGCAAAGAATCACCCACTCAATGCAATCCCAACCAACCTCTTCGCCTTATCCGACAACTGAATCTTCAAAGCCTCCTCTCTCCCACGCTCCGACATCTTCCCCCAAGTCTTCCTCAAAATGTCCACCATCTTCTCCTCATCCGCAAGCTCCGCCTCAAACTTATCAAACTGATCATCCAAAAACACAAGACAAGCAACATCCTCCAGCGTCTGCGTATCAGGATCTCCCTGCTTAAGATCCGCTTTACGCACCAGCGCGCCAACCCTCGCTGCCTCCTCAACCGAATACCCGCTCTCAGCACATATCTGCTCGACTAGCGCAGCCTGTCGTCTCTGCAGACCTGCCCGCCACGAGTGATACCCGATCTTCGTGGCGGGGTAGCTGTCCCGCGGCACTTCCCAGCGGCGTAGATGTTGGGCGCGGATTGCGAGGCGCAGGAGCTCTGGTGCAGATGGGTTCAGGGTTGAGAGGTAGCTGGTCATTTTTTGGGCGTAGTGTAGTTCGTATGGGACTTGGCCGGTGGGTGTTTGGGCTTCGCGGGGATCGTCGGCGTGCGCTGCGTCGATGCGCTCGATGGCTGTTTCGTATTTGGTCATTTTTGTGGGGTTGCGTGAGGTAATTGAGGTAGGTGATTTATCCTTGAGTGGTGTGATTCGGCGACAAGAGTTTGGGCTTGGGATCAATTGGACTTGTTCGTGTTTGAGAGCTGTCTGAGTCGATTGATATGCGGTTTTTGGATAAGAATAGGCGCTAGTCTAGATATGGCTTAGCGTAAATTGTAACTGGGGCCTTCTAATTGGTGGATGAATATGTATACATCAATTGGTGCATCGTACAACTAGCCGTGCCAAGCGCCCAACACCAGGTCCCCCAGATTCTCACAGGATGCAAGATCTGTAAATTATGTATCTTTTGTATGACTTACCTATACAAAAGATTGTCGTTCCGTTGCCGAAAGGATAAGTCTACGTATTACATCACGTCAGCTTTCGCCCCTCGTGGCCGTAATAAAGGCACTATAGTTAGCCAATACCTCCTGGATGATCTGGATGCGCCCTAAAGAGCCATAGCCCAACTAACATTTCATACAGCAAGTGGGGAGTCATTCTCGCTCCAACCCCTACCCGTTTTTTGGAAGCGAAATAAAATGGCCAAACATGGCGGAATCAGTTTGCTGCACAAACTCAGGCTGCACGTAGGGTACCTCCTGTGCCAGCGATCGTGCCACGGGTGGTCTCCTCGCCACATCCAGTTCTTCTCGTACCCAGGAATGTTGGTATAGAACCACGGAGAAACGGGCATCACATAAGCCAGGCCGGACAAATATTGAATGTAGGAAGCATCAATATAAGTGTCCATATCTTGAGGACCCCAGGCCATCCGGCCCAGCTGAAAAGACCATCAACAACTCCGGTTGCAACAGCAGGTTAGGCGCCCAAGGAAGACCAACTTGGAATGAAGAAGCAGTCGGTCTCAGACTTGATCGTATGCCAATCATCGGCACGACCAGGGCCCTCAAATGAGGACACAAACGCTTTTCCTTTGTAGAAGAAGTACGAAGAATGCGCGCTATATTGATTAATCAGGTTGATTACATCGCTCTTTGGCCAGTTGCCGTTTCCAGCATAGTCGAACGAGAAGAAGAGTTTGAAGCCGACGCTGTCTGCCGCTGAAAAAGTGGCAGGGAGAGACTTTATGTTTGTCGGATCATTGTAGGCCATGTTCAGTGCAAAGGCATCAATATGTGCATCCTGCGCCAGCTTCATGTCGTCCTCCCAGTCACGAGGTGTATAGTTGGCCGAGTTGGTAACCTATTCGTCCTGTTAATAAAGTCAAATAGAGATAGTTCACAAGACACCACTACTTACCATGAAGTGAGCAAAGAGGGACGCTGCCTGCACTCGGCAGGCCATCGCCGTCAGAAACACCGTGATCCAACCCAGGAAGAATGCCATGACTGGTCCTAATAGGAGCGCTAGGAAAGTGATATCGAATTTCAATGGCTTGGGATGACCCTCGCCCTTTTTACAGCTGCGCTTTACAATGCTCAAAAAAACTTCAAATATAAAATTAGCGAGGGAAAAAACCGCCATTCCGAAGAGCCCGGAGAGTGGAGATTCGAAGAATTCTGCTACGTATACTTAATATTCCTTATCGAAGTTTGGTTAACTAATATAGACCTACTTCATACTATCTATATCTCCTTATATTTGCCCTAGCTAGTTCGAGGGCTGAGAAAAAGTGTGTTATGCTGACGGGGTACCAAAGTACCTTTTGTATCGATAAGTCATACAAAAGATACTTAATTTCTAGATTTTGCGTTTACTGGGGTGCACCAACACCAAGTTGGCACGGCTATGAACCATGGTACAATGGCGGGAAGGACCTTCAAATGAGATGACAGGACGATTTGGTATCAGGTTGGAGTATAAAAGGAGTCTTCTTCTCTCCCTTCTTCGCCATCCATCTCTCTTCAGATTCTGACTCTCCATCGCATCTGCTCTTCTTATCCGCACAACACTTGTGCAGTCTTCGATCATCTCTGCTCACGACACTTGTGTAGTCTTTGATCATCTCTACTCACAGAAGGTTTGTCCCTCTTACAACCTCAGTTGCTGTCTATCCTCAAATTTTTCTCCCATACCTCACTTACCTCATATGTGCCTCTCGCTAACAGCATTACAGCCGTGCTACTCCACGTTTTTTATTGTTCTCTTGAAGCTTACCAGTGATGGATAATCCAATTCCTGTCCTCTGGCCTTCGGGCCGTCCCACGCCTCCGTTGTCACCCCGCAAACGCGCCGTTTTCTTCGTGATTCTGAAGAATCAGAGGGTGAGATGAGCCTACGAACGAACCAAACGCATTATTATCTCGCTTCTCAACAGGACAATCGGCAATAAGTGGCATTTGATTTGTCCCTTCAATGTTGGTTCAACGAAAGCTAAGGCGGAGCCGATGATCGTGGTACTTGTGGAGCCATGGACACGCGCAAATTGGTTCGAGTTACGAGCTCAGATCATGTATCAGCTGGCGCCACTACGGGCGACTAATTATGCCACCCGACACATAACTCTCTCATTGGTTCATATTGCCAGGCAATAATTTCGATCCACTCTCACTTCACAAGTACCATTGTTGAATCTATAACTAGTTACTTTATATAGTATTTTTCATAAATGAATACTGTTGAGCAACCTGTTACTATGTGGGGTACTATGTGGGGAGAAAGCAGAGGAAGAATTATTAATTGATTAAACTAGAAATGCAGGGGGTTATATACCCTACTAAAACCATCTACACTCTGCTCGATTATAGTAATTTAGTAAATAACGAACAAATAGGGCTTAGTTTGTAGCAAACATATATATATATATATATATAGGGGATTGTTTAACAAATACGATATTAACTTTTTAACACCGGACTCTTTATACTCCTAAGTGTTAAGTCTTGACTCTTGATTGCTTACCATCTTACTAACTGAATCTGAACTGAATCTGAACTGAATCTGAATTGAATCTGAATTGAATCTGAATTGAATCTGAATTGAATCTGAATTGAATCTGAATTGAATCTGAATTGAATCTGAATTGAATCTGAATTGAATCTGAATTGAATCTGAATTGAATCTATAAAGTGTATAGTATAGAAATAGTAAATGCTTCCAGAAGGCAGTAATGAACTAGGCGGCGAGGTAATAACCAATGAGAGAGTTATGTGTCGGATGGCATACTTAGTCGCCCGTACGCCACACACGAACACGGATAAGTTTGACATTGAATTTTTGCCGGGTACCCTATCGCTTTTGACCAATGACGGAGTATCCTTTGCGGACAGACTCACTCCAAATGCCATTCCTCGAATGGGCTACTCGATCAGCATTGAAGGAGTCAACAATATAGGTACATTAGGCGGATTTGTCACATTAACCCACGGCGCCACTGTTCGCCGAGGCTTCCTCACTAATTACCATGTTATCAGGCCTTCGGAATCTAAAGATAACGCCCAGTTCCTTAAAGGCCTCGATCGTTATGGGTCATCTCTCGCTCGGCCTCTGAACCAGGTGGTTAGAATTGAATGCCTGGCTCGCATGGATATGGATTCTACACTTGCCCGCCTTAATCCTCCTTGAATGCCATGCGCGAGCACCACTCTGAGATTAGTGCTAAAGTGCAAGAACGAGAACTGGTTGGAGCAACCCCGCATCTCCGACTCCTTGAATGGATAGAAAATTACCACTCTCATATGGAGAAACTTTTGCCTCAGCACGCAGCAGTCGAGAGAATACCACACGTCTTAGGAGAAGTGAAGTTCGTGTCCGGAGAGCAACTTCGTAATCGCCGATTTCTAGATTGGGCTTTCGTTCAACTCTCCAGAGAGGCCGAGGAACAATGTTTCAGACCTAACCGCATGTTTCAAATTCCTCCCGCCTTTCTGCCAGAAAAGTTCATACCTCCTCGCCCTACTATGGTTATCCAGGAGCACGGTGTTCTAAACGAGTTTGGCTCATCAGCCAACCTAGGCGAGCCTTTTGCTACGACGGATATTCGGGCTCATTCATTCTCAATGGAGATGGAGCTGTAACTGGGTTGCTCTGGGGAGGAGTATCGCATGAAGATCTTGATGTTGGGCTGGCCTCGAGCATGTCCGATGTCATGGAGTCAATCAAAGAGAAGATTGGAGGTCTTGTTGTTGGGTGCCTGAGTGCCTCAGGCACCCAAGGACCCACAATGAGACAGATCCACTTATGTACGGAGTAGATAGTTCTCTCTCTCCCCTTTTCTTCTTCTTTCTTCCTCTCTCCTCGGTCCATCTCAATAATTCTGAATCTATCATATTGTTTCTCATACAATCCCATTAGATTCTACAATAGGTTATGAGCACCTTTTTATGCTAGCAGGACCACTAGCACCTTTTCTTCTAAAGCTTTGACCTAGATCCACCTTTTCCTGCTTGGCGCAGAATTTTTCGCCCAATCATGAATCGATCCTTACTACTAGATAAGATTCTATAAGGATCGCATGGTTTTCAATTGGTTGACTAGCTGCGGGCCTGTAGGCATTACTTAATTATATAATCCTTACTAAGCCTTTCGCTTATATCAACAAGTTTGTTATGCGCTTAGTAACCCTTGGCCAAGCCAAGGTTCACTTGCCTAAGGCATATAGACCTGCCTCAGGCACCATACTTGGTCCCCACAACTTTAGTTTAGATAGTTCTTCTCTTCTTCTTCTCTCTGCGCAATAGACAACTTTCCAGTTTACCTGTATCTTCTGTCTAAGACTTTTCCTCTTCCGATCCCCCGCACGAGCGTCGGAAGCTAGCCGTTCCCGCGATTCTCTCCTTTTTGCCCCCTATCCGAAGCCTCCCATATCGATTTAAGGTGTCGGTCTCGCATATTCGCTTCCCCGCGAATTCGGCTCCCCCCGCACCCCGCACTTTGCTTTCCGACCTCCAGTCGAACCCGTTTGATTATTGGCGAGACCCGAAGATCCAAGTCGAAAAATTGAGTAGCGCTTCCGATTGTTCGGGCCGATAACTTAACGACAAAGTCATAATTGAAGTGGTATTAAATACCGGAAACTCCCATTCTCATTTATTGCATCATTCTGCCAATGCCCGAGCACAAATCTCAGATACTGATACTTTATCCTTTCTATCTTTATGATATTCGAAATGGCGTTCTTTCCCTTTAAAATTTCCTTGACGACATACATCATTTGTACAATCGTGGCAGGGCTCGCTGTCCGTTTGCTCTCGAATCGATATAAACAAGGCCTGCGCGATATACCAGGCCCGGAACTTGCAAAGTACACTCGATTGTGGAAGCTGAATAGTGTATGGAAGGGTAATCATCATAATACTGCCATCGATCTTCATCGGAAACATGGAGCCCTCGTTCGTATTGGCCCAAATCATGTATCTGTTGGCGATCCCAGCGCCATTCCTGTCATATATGGCCTGAACAAGGGTTTTACCAAAGTATGCATGGCCCTAGAGCATTATTGGGGACATGAAATAGCGCCATTGAAAGAATGATAAGAGAATCCCGCTAACAATTACAGACTGCCTTTTACCCTATTCAATGCATATCATGGAATAAGAAGCCTCAAATGAATCTGTTTTCCACACGCGATGAGAAGTTTCATCGTGATCAGAAGCGACCTGTGGCCAACGCATACAGCATGACCTCGCTCCTGGAGCTTGAACCAGCAGTAGACTCATGCAGCGAGATTTTCATGTCTCAGTTGAGCAAATTCGCGGACCAGAATGCTCCGGTCGACTTGGGAATCTGGCTGCAGTACTACGCCTTTGATGTCGTGGGTGAATTTACGTTCGCGAAGAAACTCGGTTTTCTAGAAGAAGGGAAAGACATTGATGGGATGATTGAAGCCATCCAAGGCATGCTATCGTATGCCAGTTTGTGTGGTCAGATTCCTGAGATGCATCCACTACTACTGGGAAATCCTCTGTTCCCACTCTTAATGCCCAGCATGGAGACTTGGAATCAGGTTCTTCAGTTCACACTGAAAGCAGTGAATTCCCGTGCGTCATTGCAGCGTGACGGTGAGCTCAATAATGAGGAAAAAGATGGCGGAAAGGACATGCTCTCCAAATGGATGGCTATTCACCACTCAAACCCCGAGAAGCTCGCCACGAGGGATGTAATCGTACACCTTTCGACGAATGTGTTTGCTGGTTCTGATACAACAGCCATAGCACTTCGAGCTGTCTTATATCTCCTCATGCGCAATCCAGAGGTCATGTCCAAAGTCCAAACCGAGATTGACAGTGCATCTCGTGAGGGCAAGCTCAGCAATCCCGTATCGTACCGCGAGTCTACCACACATCTGCCCTATATTGGCGCAGTGCTCAAAGAGGCCATGCGACTTCACCCTTCTGTCGGATTGATTTTGGAGCGTGAAGTCCCAAAGGAAGGAGCGTATATTTGTGGAAAGCACGTTCCTAGTGGAACTATAGTCGGCATCAATGCGTGGGTTGTGCATCGAAATGGCGAAATATTCTCCGATCCCGACTCATTCATCCCCGAACGCTGGCTCGAAAGCTCCCCTGAAAAGTTAAAGGAGATGGAACAGAGCTTTTTCAACTTCGGCTTTGGGTCGAGAAGTTGCGTTGGAAGGAACGTCTCTATCATGGAGATGCACAAGGTCCTGCCACAGTTGCTGCTTGAATTTGAGATCCGGCTACACCACCCAGAGAAGGAATGGCGAACCAGGAACGCATGGTTTGTGCAGCAGGAAGGGTTGATCTGTGATCTTGTGAAGAGAGGATAAAGACATGGCAGGGAAATTTGATCATTTCCCTTGGAGGAGCTCTATGTTTCAACCCGCTATTGCTCTTGCTCTCCCCTTTGTTTCTAAATTACATGTAATCCACAGACTGAATATTCTGTCTATGCCAAGTGTATTAAGGAAAAGGAAACAATACAAACCAAGAAAGAATAGTCCTTAATCCCAAAAGGGGGTTCAAGTTTTCATAAAGCCAAGAATGATATTAATTTTGTTTACTGAATTTCTATTCTGTGGCCGTATGAGACATTGGAGACCAGCTCAACGACGATATAACCAAAACTTCTCACACAGCAGTCCCGTCTGTCGGCTCCTTGTTTTTAGACCATAATCGCTTCACCAGAGCTCTGATGGAGTGCTTCGCTCCACCAATCTCATAGAGCGGCCTGTGTTCCTCATTGACATCATGCAGATAATCATAATCGACATGCACAAAAGCTCGCTCGACATCTGCGAGACCTTCTAATTTGCGCTGCAGCGCTTGGCTTACATCGTGAGACTCCCGAAGCTTAGTCTCGGGGTCCATGACGATATCAACCTCAACATAGAGCTGTTGTCCAGAATGATAAGCGCGACACTACTTACTGTTAGTCAAAATGCCGAGAACAAATCCACTCAGTCCACGTCCACAACTCACCGTATCCATCTTCTGAATCCTCTGGTCGTGAGTCAGTGTCACATAGATACACTTATTCACAAATTCACGGGGGGGCACATTTGCCCACAATCAACCACATATTCTCAAACGCAGTCGACGCCCACGAGAACAAGATAAGCAGGGCAATGCAGCACGCGCCCACAGGATCAAGATACCAGACAAATCGATCACCCACAATCGACATAATCAACCCAAACCCATTAACAGCCAGATCATTGCGGTGGTCAATGTAAAAGACATGAGCAGCCGGGTACCGACGCAAGCCATAGCAGTACAAAAACATGACGAACTTGGAGAAGATAGCAACACCCACACAAACCAGCGGCACAATATCCAGTTTCTCGGACTCAGTCTTGCCCCCCGCAAGAGCCTTAGCCGATTCAATAATCAGCTCCACGGCCACGATAGTCATCAACGCACAGAACATGATCACTCCCATTGTTTCGACGCGGCGCCGTCCAACGGGGTACTTGTATGGCTTTGGGCGCGATGACATGCGCGACGTAACTAGCATAACAACCGACGAGACGAGATCCATGAAGGCGTCTGCGGCGGTGGCAAAGAGGGCTAGAGAGCCTGTTGTCACGGCTGCGTAGAGCTGGATCACGAAGAGGAAGAAGTTGACTGTGAAGCTGGCGCGCACGGCAAGCTTCACTTTACCGCCATTTTGGGCTTCGTCCTCGGCTTTGAGGCGCTCTTCTTCCCCGGCGGAGAGGAAACCCTCGATCATTTCATTTTGGTCCTTGTAGAAGGCCGTGAGCTTTTCCTTCTCGTCATTGAAAGAGTATGGGACCCAGTTCTTTCTTGGTTCGGATATAGTTGTTTTATATTGGTTGAGGTTTAGAGGGTCATCGGGGAGTGACATTTTGTGTGGTTGGATCGAGGCCAGAGTCAAGGTTCGCCAAGGTAGCTTAACGTAGGACTCTGATGGTAGGGCTCAAGATGAAGATCAGATAAGAGACAAAAAATCTTCCGCCGATCTAAGGTTTAGGGGTCAACTCACGCCAAGACACTCGGTGTCTCGAACAACTTGAGCGCCTTGGCGTCGTGGCAGTGCCAGCGGAGTTTCTCTTGGCTTAATCAAATTGACGAGTTATAATACGAGGGGTGATACCTATTGCATACTGTTGCATTAGTGAGGTTCTTAGGGCTATTCGGAGTTTCTTCGGTGAATGAGTGGACTAGAGCTTCCAACCTTGATGCTCATCTCGCTGGTTTATATGCGTTCAATTTTGCCGACAGCATAGTTTTATGTTTGTTCTTGAAAAAGAATCAGCAAATTATCACTCTGTATAGGGCCTGTAGTACCTATCAATCTTTATGTGGGGAAATTGTCGATTCTAACATTCATAGTGTTTGGCAATCTCTCAGACAACATTTCTCCAAATATATATATATCCACAATTTTGCCACCCATTGAAAGCCAATGCATAGAATAGCTGGATATGTATAAACGAAGATACTAGCTCAATATCTAAAGCATAGATCTAACCTCCCAAGGTACCAAGGACCAAGAACTCAACAAGCTCAAACAAAAGCCTTAAATATTGACCTTGGGTTCTAGCTCGAGGTTTATGCTTATGAATTTCATGAACATACAATATTTTCAGAGCTTTCTGTAAGAGGAAAAATTAATAGGGTGTATTTTAATCCTTCCGAATGTAGCAAGATTAACCTTCATCATAAATATCCGGACTTCATATCACATGGCCACTTTCTGTAGTAATAGGATTTCTACAGTTCCTTTCTTCCTCTTACATAGTTCTCTGCAATCTACAGTACAATGGCACACCATTATCTATTATACTTCATTCATGCTTCATGATCTCATCTACTGACTAGCAATATCATCAGCAGTCATATCTACACAGTAAGGTTTATATTTTCCTGAATCTATTTCAACTTTTAAGCAGGGGGAAATAAAAAGCCACCGGGATACCATGATGAGTGTTCCGATTGGTGCCATAAGGCTGTCCGCGTAAGAACTCAGAGTAATATCATTCCACGCCGCTATGCCTTCCTGATCCAAGACTCTCCTTGATCTGGCTTTTCAAATATCAAGTGACGTATTATGGGAGGAGGAGGTACACCGGGCTGCCTCACAAAGCCAAGAAAGGAAAGGAAAGGAAATCATGTTCGTTCCCTAGAAAGTCTTCGGGGGAGCTTTTCCTTACAGCGTTTCCCCAGAGACAAGTCCCTGCATTAAGGGCGAGCCGATCTATCACGAATCCAATAACCAAGGGAATCCAGACGGAGGCTATAGCTACTAATCCCCAGCTAAACTTAGGCAACGATCCTCGTGGCCAAAGGTGAGGAGAGGGAGCTATGAGAGCTACGGACATTCCTCAAGCATCCGAGCCACCCAAGAGCTTGGAAGCTCACCTTCCAATGGCAATATTTAAACAGGCATGTCAACAACCGTATCGCACCAGGGCTCTTGGATCTGAACAAACTAAGGAAAATTGTCCGGTGATCAGACCATTTGATTTCCCTCCCTTCATTCCTACTCCTTAGTTACAGCTGCAACCTCGCGCGGAGAGCTCGGATCCTAGATAAATGTGAGGAATGTTGGGGCGGACTATCATTCGGAGGTTTTTTTTTTACCAATTAATTATTTAGTGTTTAAATGAAGAGCTTGACAGCTCGGAGTTTTTAACGTCTCGGAAAAATATTCCACGAGACTCACTGTCTTTGCAGAGCATCGCCAAACATGGCCTCCAAGCTCTTACAGAACAACACCAACAGCAGCTGGATGAAAGATCCAGGACTGCGGAGACTAAACCTGGGGATCGGGTTTATGTTATCTGCATCGGCTACAGCCGGATATTGTGCTAGCATGATCAATGGCCTCCTGGTGCTTCCCGAATGTATGTATCTATATATCTCTATGTTATATGGGAACACAAGACTAACAAAAAGAAAACAGTCTCGAGGTTTTTGGATGGCCTTGACACAAATGGAAGAGGTCTTATTATCGCCGCTGTCTCGCTGGGATCCTTTTGCGCGTTCATCCCCGGATCTTACATCGCCGACAATCTGGGGCGGAGGATCTGCGTTCTGATCGGCTCCTCGCTAGTGATCGTCGCCTCGATTATCCAAGTCGCCACAAACAACAATTGGGTCTTCTTTGGTGCTCGTGTTCTAGCTGGAATGGGAGTTGGAGTTTCGCAAACTGCTGCGCCTTTACTCATCACCGAATCGTCACACCCACGCCAGCGACAGGCCTTCACGGGTCTATACAATGCACTTTGGTTCATCGGGTCGATCACATCGGCTGCTATTGGTTTTGCTGGACTCACGATTCTAGGGAGTTGGTCATGGAAACTCCCCTGCTTAACGCAGGTGTTTTATCCGGTCCTTCAATTGATAGGGCTTTGTTTTGTTCCCGAGAGTCCAAGATGGTTGGTTTCTCGGGGCAGGAAAGAGGAGGGAATGGCTATACTGGCAAGGTATCACGCCAATGGAGACGAAAACGACGAACTTGTTCAGGACGAATTCTACCAGATTTGCAAGAGCATCAATGCGGAATCCGATAAGAGCTGCCGACGCTGGAGCACCTTTTTCGCAACTCGGAGCAACTTGCATCGTCTATCCATTTGTGTTATCCTGGGATTCATGCAAGAGTGGTCTGGAAATGGTATGAAAAACACACACAAAGCCCCCTTTGTCCCGACCCAGTTTCTAACCGAGTTCCTCCTTCCAGGCGTTGTTTCTTATTATCTAGCACCGATTCTAGAATCAGTCGGTATATATAACGCATCTCACCAGGCTGCCATCAATATAAGCATGCAGGTGTGGAACCTGGCATTTGCGGTCTGCGGAGCAATGGCTGCAAACCGATACGGACGACGAAAACTCTGGCTAATCGCAACATTGTTGATGTTCATCTATCTATCCGCCGCATCAACCATGTCAGGTCTCTTCCAAGAGCTTCATGTGCTGGAAGCTGGCATTGCGGTGGTTCCCATGCTTTTCCTCTTTTGCAGCGCTTACGATATGGCATATATGCCCTTGTTTATTGCATACCCAGCTGAAATCCTGCCCTTCCAGCTTCGTGCCAAGGGTCTTGCCATCACGCTGACCACCGATTCGATGGCTTGCTTCTTCAACCAGTTTATCAACCCGATCGCACTGGGGGCAATCCACTGGAGATACTTCACGGTGTATCTGGGTTGTCTTGTGATTTTTGGTGCGACGATCTACTTCCTCTTCCCGGAGACTAAAGGTCTATCTCTGGAGGAGGTAGCGCGGATCTTTGAAAAGGAGAAGACTTACCAGGTGGAGACGCCCTCTGATGTTTCGCAAGAACTGCTCGTCTTCGATAAGAACGGTAGCACCTCGTGATTGTGACTGTGTAATTTTTTGTTGCTGTTGGGTGTTGTAATTACGGCAGTGCTCGGTCCCGAAACAGTTCCTCGCAGGCTAAACTCCAGCAGGCTGGATACTGATGTTATCTAGGTGTCTTTCGTTACTGTTCGAAGTTTATGTGGAAGAGCAAATCCTATAGATAGTTATGTAAGATTATCCACCATTGTCTTGTAGTGTCAATTTGAATTGAATGTTTCTAATAGAAAAGATTTAACAGTCGTTCTAATTATCCATCATGGCTATTGTATTTATGTCAAGGCCTACATACATACACACCGGATTTTAGGCCGGGCAAGTTGGATTTCCCTTTCCGTTTTAGTGCTCACCCCTTATCGCCGTTTGTTCACTAGCTAGTTAACTAGTCAACTAACTAGGCGTTACTTGAGCAGCCTGAGCAAAGTGGGAGAGTAGCTAAGTCAGTAGGTCATCTTAATAAAATGCACCACCTATGCTACAATTCAACCTCGCCGAGCTCTATATAGTTACGGACCCAACCCTCTACTTTTAGTTCTATAATATCTAGGAATATCTTAGAAAGCTCTAGTTGAATGGTTTGTAGATCTGGTTTAGTATTTTATTTTATTTTTTAGTTGATTTTTTAACGGACTATCGCTCTTACTACCTACATACCACTAACTCCTAGGAATATGACCATTCTATAGTAATGGAAAGTTCTAACATACCCTTCCTGCCAACTCAAATCATTCAAACAGTTCCGGACTCCTCCGTCTTCTGGCGTTGATGATCAGGAAGCTGTTTCTGGGGAATGAGAAGTGTCAAGAGAACGGCCGCTACCGCACCAGCTAAACCAAAGGTACAGTCAGTGGACATAAGTTTTTACACCCCCTATGGCCCCACTTAGCTCACCGCCACTATATTATTATACCGCCTACCTAAAACGCGTAGTTCAAAATCACGCTAAATTAGTACGCGAATTTGTATGTTGGTCTAAAATGTATTTATATAGGTCTCAAATCATTATTCATTACTATACCTTCTATACTACCTTCTCAATTAATACTACCTTCTCAATTACTATGGCGCGGTCCAAAGAGCTTACCCCTGCTATACGTGAGCGTATATGCGAGCTTCATGCCATTGGATGGGGGTATAAGCGGATTCATACGCGTTACCCCTATATTCCCCTCCCTATAATTCGGTATACTATCAAAAAAGAGAGCGAGCGACGTGAAGGCGTGTCAAAGTCGAGATCTAGTAGGCTAAAGAAGCTTTCTAAAGCCGATAAAGATCGAATTCTAAACGCTATCTACGGAGATCCAAAGATTATGGCCGAAGATCTACTTGCTAAGGTTGATTATAAGGTCAAATACCGCTCTATATAACGCCTTTTAAACGCCGAAAACCTACGCAAATGGCGATATAGCTAGCGGCCCCTTCTTAAGGAAGAATATACACTTAAACGCCTCTAATAGGCCTTTCGTTACCGCTACTTTATACCTAAGGATTAGGCCCGTGTTTTTTAGTCTAATGAATGTATAGTTGAACGTGGGATTAGTGTTCGTCGAGAGTAGACCTTTGTTCGTCTAAAGGACTAGCCGAGAGAGGGACAATGTTAAGGCCTACCTATATAAGGGAAGTAAGTAAAGCAGATATTTTGGGCTATATTTTCTAGCGCTACCCGGCGTATAGGCCTTATCCTACTCTTTAGGGATCCTAAGGCTAAGCGTATAGGTATTATAGGCCTTATTATTAAGGATTTATACCGCCGAATCCTACCTACCTTGATTGTAAATCAAGATAGCATTTTCTAGTATGATAATGCTCTAATATATACCGCGTATATTGTACGGGATGTATTAGCTGAGATGTAGATTGAGGTTATAGAATAGCCTCCTTATTCTCCTGATTTAAACCCTATTAAGAATCTCTGGGCTTTGTTGAAAGCTAAGATCTATGAGCTTCGGCCTGATCTACTACATATACGTAATAATGACACTACAAAAGAGATTTTAGTGGCTACTACGCAGTAGGCATGGGATGAATTGGAGCTACGGCATATGGAGCATCTCTCTGAGACGATGCCGCACCGGGTGGAGGCCATCATTGAGAGCCAGGGGTGGTATACGCCGTACTAGATAGTTTTAATTCATAGAGTTTTATACCGGCAGTATATTATATAATCATAGGGGTGTGGGGCCAGGGGTGTAAAAACTTATGTCCAGTCACTGTATATAGGGGGGACTCGATGTATCATATAGTAATATTGGAATAAGGTAATTCCGAACCGGGTAGCTACATATATATAGAAGAACGCACTAATCAAATGAGAACGTACTAATTCCATACATACAACCCCTCATTTCTCATTTCTCGTCACCCGTCACATCTACAACTATCCATAATCAGTCAGATTCCAATTCCGAAAATCAATATGACAACGCCGGCTCCAACCATTGAGCTTCCAGTCACAGAAGAAACTCTAGCATTGGCATTCGTATGCTATGGTTGTAATATCTTACTAAAAGATACACTCCGCCACTTTGGCAAGGTGGAATATAAGGGACCTGGCCGCTGCACAGGCTGCGAATTTAAGAGGATATTATTTTGGTATGTATAGAACGAATTAATAACTAAGTAAGAGAGCAACGGGGCACTGTTAGAGAAATATGTATAGATGAACTGAAAAGAAACTGGTAGAACGAAGAGTTGGAGCTAAGTAAGTACGGAATGTTAGCTCTGGGGCAAGAGGCTAGGAATGGAGTGGTTGAGTACTCACATATAGCACCACAAAGCATTATCCCATGTCATGCGAGGTTTCAGCAGCTTCAATGGAACCATAGCTCGAGAGCCATGGAGTCCCTCAACTATGAAAAACATGATCGTGAAGGCAATCCAAAGAACCAAGGTGGCGATGACAACACCGAAGCTCCACGCTTTGGTCTGGCCACCCCATTGCAGAGCCAAGGTAAAGCACACGAGAGAACCGAGTAACAAGGAAAACCCAGGAAGGTCAAGCTGTAAAATTATCTCTTTCCAAGTGGCTGGGACAGGCTTGATGTGCCCGGGCACCCGCAAGAACAGTAAACACATAATGACAATCGGACCTCCAAGAGGCAGGTTGATCCAGAAACACCACCGCCAGGAGACCTCACTCGTAAAGACACCACCGAGAACAGGCCCCAGGATGGTCGATACCATAAAGACTCCCATCCAGCTACCGATCAATACTGGACGCCTTCTTGGCTCGGCCACGACACTAATAAGAATAACAGATCCACCCAGAGTCCCCGCAGCCCCCAATCCTTGGATTGCTCGACCGATGATTACAGAAAGTCTGTTCTGAGCAGAGGCGGCGACAATGCTGCCAACCAAGTAAAAACACCACGGAGCTTAGGTAAACCCATTTGATGCGGAGATATTTATACATCTTGCTCCACATCGGAGAGGATGCCCCAACAAGGAGAAAAGTGGCACTCCCGTACCATCTGACATCATTCAATTGGTGGAAGTCATCGGTGATGCCAGGAATAGCGGTCGCAATAATCCCAATCTCGAGGGCGGCCAGGAGAGTGCTCATAAAGATGGTGACCATGATGAGAAACAATCGCAGGCCCGTTATGTAAGAAGGCTCTGCGGTCAAGTCCTTCTCATCGTCATGCTTCTCTTGGTCAATTTCTGCTGGGGTGTGCTGGATATCGGTAGATGAGGTTGTCGGATTAACCACTCTCGAATTGGCTTTCGACACCTCCCCCATGTCGGGGTTTTAGGAAGACATGTCTCTTGGCCTTTTTCGCTATCTGATAATGGCTTCGTCCGCCAAAGAACTGGCTTCCACCTAGGCAAGTGATTTAGTATCATTCGTCTGCCGGATACTAAATATCGAAGCTTAATTAGGATTAGCGCTAGGCTCGTCCGTCGGGCCGCAACCACTAGGCCTATTAGGGACTAGTTTTACTTTCGACCGCCGGGCCCACTCCTAAAAGGCCCCCCAACCCGCTTCGACCGCCGTCAGGCAAAAGAACCCCCTTGCCCACCAGCCATCTGCCGTATATTTTTTTAGTCACATCTCCGCAACACATCAGGTCTCGGTCAATCTGTAGATACGATGTCTCCGCCCCATGCACAGCGCCGAAAGCTCCGCAAGGGGACCCGCAGCTGCTGGTAATGCAAGCGGCGGAAGATGAAATGTGTATTCGATCCGCTCGGTAATACAATATGCAAGCCATGTCAAATTCGAGTATCTAAATGCGTTAGCCAAGAGTTTCCCGAAGGAGCCTGGATCCCTGATGACGCGAACTGGTGGAGAAAATATCGATACCAGCGAAGGACAAACACCTTTGACGTCCAGTGAACATGGGAAAAGGTCAAGCTATGGTATTCCGACACCAGAATCGCCGATTCTAACAGCCTCGGCGTCTCTTGACTTCTATAGATCACCGCAGGTGTGTTTCAAGATCCTACCGCCATTCGATTGTCACTCATACCTTGTCTTAGCAACCATCGCCCGAAGATCGTGTCTTTTCTAATAACCTTGGAAAGCCAGAAGTCGAGGTACCTGTCTCGCATAACAAACATGAGAGGCTTTCACGGCTCTTACTTGAATCACTGCCCTCACAAAAAGACACCGAGAGAATATGTCAAGCCGGGGGTGATCCCTTGATTCTCGCCCATGAAATCTTAACTATGTCATACGACACCCTTTCCAAAACATCACTGAAAACGAGTGAAGCTCTGTTAAATATCCCCAACGCAAATACACACCCTGTTCTAATAGCAAGGTATATGCTCCAGCTTGCCACCGTCTTGCAGCATCTACACCCCGATCTCCACGAAGGAATAAATAGTCTCTCAGAGACGCCAAGGGACACAATGGAACGATTAGCAAATCTAGCTATCGATCTCGTGATAATAAGAGATGAGTTTCTTGGGAGCATTGAGGGATTAGAATCTATCATGATTGAGAGCATGTATCAGGCGAATATCGGGACTCTACGACGAAGCTGGGTATCAAATCGAAGAGCCATGGGAATTGCTCAGCTGATGCGTCTTGACCGATCGGATCATCGGACTCAGTTCGAAGTGCTCGAACCGAACACGAGATGCCACCCACAGCTCATGTGGTTTCGAATCGTGTTTCTGAGTTGCAGCTGAGACAGAAGAACTACCCCGCATACATGAAATGTGATAACGTGATACGTGATGTGACCATATATGTATACAACAAGCAACAGGAGTTCACCATGAGTACACAAGGTTGAAGCCAATCATTTGAAAGGATTACAAAGATATATTTCTTCATTTCGCAGTCCGGTATTCTGATCGACTAAACATTATTCTCAGCCTCGACCAACGAGCGGCTCTGTGGTGGCCTCTCCCAGCGAAAGCAATACTGTCCCATCTTCATTGCAGTGAATCTAGACCGATGGCCAGTGATCCAGTTTGGCTTTCCATCCCAGGTTGTACCCATCACGAATGGTACATTGTAGTCGGGCACTGTTGGTAGGTCCGGCCATGTAAATCGGTGTGGTGCATTGAGATACCTTTCCATATCCCCATCGGATCTTCGTACTGCTACCCATTCGTTCAAGAAGTTGCGAAACTTCGATACGTCAGAGTCAAGTTCGCGATTAACAATCCATTCCGAGATACTTTGCACCATGTCTATATGTCGATCCCAGTGGGGGATATCCGAGAAGGATGTATCGTTCGTAATAAGCTCGTAGAGTGTGAAGACGACACCAGCAACATCGTCTCGACCTTCGTATAACCGTTTCTTCCCGGATGCAGCCCGGTCGAAGTCGAAGAGGACGATCTTATGTGTGCAAGGATCAATTAGTAGGTTTCGGGGAGCGATATCTTGGTGCATAATCCCTAGTTCTAGGTTGAGAAAATCCACGACTTGAGTAAGCTGTTGTAGCCACTCGAATCGAAAAAGGATCTTTGGATTAGCGAGAGTTCCACCTGGGATGTACTTCGTTGTGAACCCAATCACCCGGGACTCGTGGTCTTCAAGGACAACGCGATCGAATGGGATTATGTTAGGATGTGGCGGTAGTCTCTTAAGAATGTTGAGTTCATCCCAGGCCATTTGCATTCTCAAAGGCTTGTTCAAGACGTTGAACTTGAAAACAACCTTTTGGAGAATCCTAGATTCGTTTTCGTTTTCGTACGATACAAGATCAATGAACGGTCCAAGCCGGTCAAGCTCTTGGAGCTTAGAGTACTGAATTGTACGGCAATCGGCTAGCGATCCACAGAGTGAGAAAGGGATATATGCAAGAAATAGAGTATCCTCCTCTCTCGGATCTGTCGAAACCCCGGTAAGGAGCCCATCGTCGTCGACCGAGATAGCGCGAACTTCCGGCGATAGATAATCGGCCAATCGCGCCAGAATCGAGAGCTCCCTATCCTCTTCAGGCGGAAATAGTTTGGCAGTGCCTTTGACCTTGATCATCCGAAGTTGATCCCAATCCCAGACGTTGCAATATGTTTCGGTGGTGGGGTTTTCGCTCGGGCCGCAGTAGTTCTGGCCTTCGGACCAGAATCTGTCTTGAGGGTCGATCATGGTAAAATGGAAATGAGTGGCCAGTACAAAGTGTTTCCAATGTGGGTGAGCGATTAATTTCGACCTAAGGATTGTTTTCGTTTTCCTTAAATAGGTAGAGACACAGGCCAGGTCGCGTGGACGACCTGGCAATAAGCCCCCTTCCCCCTTGTTATGTCTATACCCACATCCCATTTCGTGGACTAGGCTCTATCTACCGAGTTTACCTACATAGCTCTAAATTTTCCACCCTTCGCCGTGCTTCCACTTAATGAATCTCAACACAATGAAAAGAGCCGCACCAGTAACGACAGTCATAGCACTGAAAAGTTGCGCTTTCCAAAAGACAGCATTCTCGAGATCCAACAAAGCGCCCGCGATAGGGTTACCAATCAGCAACCCCAAGCCAGCAAAGGTAAAGCACATTCCCATTCGGGTCCCCACAATACTCATATCCGCGGTGATCTTAGCAACGATAGTCGGGGGCAATGAGACAATTGCACCAGATGCATATCCGTAAATGATAGCGAAGACGATAGTTCCAGCCTCGTTCCTAATACCTATCCACGCGAAAGCTAAGACGGTAGCTATCAAGCTAATTGGGACGATGGTGTTGAGGGAGCCGATACGATCGGCGAGTAGACCGGGCGTGATACGGCCAAACACGGAGGCAGCATTAAGAATGGCAATGCTGTAGAAGGCAATATTTTCGTTGGAATGGAGGTAGGACGTGAAGAAGGTGGGCAGGTAAAAGAAGGGGAAGTATAAGCCAATAAAGGCGAAAAACAGTGCCAGACTAAGCACGATAAAGGGTGATTCTTTGAATGCGCTCGGGTCGATCAGCCTTCGCGCCTGCTTCGGAGGTGGCAGGCGCATTTTCATCACAGCTAGGGAAAATAACAGTCCACCGAGGGCAATAAATGCGATAACACGAGTCGTCCAGCCGAAGCCCAGAGGGCCGATCAGCTTGTGAAACACAGAAGGGAAGATCACGGAGCCTTAGTACAAGTATTAGCGATCTAGTGTTTTTCCTTCTATCAATATTCAACACTTACCGATGCTACCTCCCGAAGCGGTTATACCTGTGGCCACTGCTCTCCGCGAGGTAAAGTAGGTGGCCACAATAGCGACACTAGGAAGGAACAAGAAGGCGCAACCAGCTCCCACGGCGACACCATGAGCTAAGAAGACCTGGTAATACTTGGTTGACAAGGAGGTCATCATTAAACCAAATACAACTAGGAACGAGCCAATGGCGATGAGGGTCTTGAGATAGCCCTTGTCGAAAATGGGACCGACAACGACTCCGACGATGAAGAGAAGGAATCCTTGAATTGTACCAATCCAAGAGATCGAGGATGCGGAGTACCCAGGCAGGAGAGTCTCTTCATAGTAACTCTGGAAGACACCAAATGTATTGACAATTCCCCTAATATTGGTTGTGTTAGCTCATTGGATGATACAATTTGAAACGTCGGATGTCAGGCTGGAGTTCACCAAGAATTGAAAAACAGGAAGAAAGCACCCGCTACCTGAAGCCATGCTGTAAGTCCTCCATTCGGTGGAGGGGGAGGTACCCCTAGTTGATTTGCTGTCTGTTTTTCTGACTCGGATCCATCAGACTCAGCGGCAGGTAGTGATGCAGGAGGGTCTTGTAGAGCGGGATGCTTGTCCGTTTCAGAAGACATGGTATGTTGGAAGTATGGAGTGATCTCCAAGGTCACTTTATAGTCTGAAAAAGGACTTTGGGACTTTGGGACTTCGGGAAGGTAGTTCAATGCAACTTGTAAGTGCTAATGCAATTTTTCTTTTCTTTCTCTAGTGCCTAGCAGCTCAAAATATAGCTTGAGACTACAGATTTACCTGTAGAGCTCGGCCTTTCGGCCTTTTCTCACCTGGAGAGCATTTGTAATAACATAGGACTTCATCTACGGTGTTGGACCCACAAAATGCGGACTCTAAAAGGGACTAAGCTTTGGGATCTGCCCAACAAACGAAAGATCAGATGTAAAATACGACATCAGGGGATCCGAAGGATTTCGCCAGCGTCAAATCAGAGAAATTTCTCATTGCACCATTTTTGGTTGCGGGTAATGTAAGCTGCAGGAAGCGGCCTACAAGCGAATACGACGTCTTAGTTCGTTCAGGTGTATCGCGTTGATGAATAATCTTAAAATAATCCATGGATCTTCCAAGGTTGACTGGCTTCAACCCCAATTGCAAAACTCGTCGGATTATCCCATATGAGAGTCTTCCTGGTAGCAAGCCGCCTTGTATTCGTAAATAAATGTGCCGCCAAAAAAAAAAAAAAAAAAAAAGGTAAAACGGGGGAATGAGGTACGGCTTTAGGATGGAAATTTTGTAAATTTTTCATCTAAGTGATTACCCCTGCCAGGGGAAGAAGAAGGTACAGGGGTGTGCGTGTCAGCCTCAGTTTCTTTTACATAAGTTGCTGAGGTGGCCCTGAGTTGGAAATGCCGGTTAATATGATATATAATATGATATATAACATAACCTGCCTGTTTCAACAAGCTAGTAGATGGGATCATGGAGGGAGCGCTGTATACTCCGGGCAACTATTGTCACTGAGACAAGCTGACAAAGAATCATATCTTTCCTCGGTCATGTGACCCTCATGTGATCTAGCTATGTATCTGCACGTGCCTGCCAATGTGGGCCCCGCCAAGAACAAGCTTACCATTATATATACCATCTACTCCGTACAACATACACCAATTTGCAAGTCATTTAGTACGAATAGTACAGTATTCAGATGAAATAAAACGTTAGAATTACTAGTTCAAAAAGATCGGTAGGATCTACATTAGCGAACTTCTTACGGGGATTTAAATAAAAAGGCATGTATTCCAAAGAAAAAGACCACTAAAAACCACTAAAAAGACATGCAAAAACGGCCAAATATTCTTCTATTCTTGATCTGAAACTTAACACTACTATAGTGCCAAGCTTATTTCATACAACATCCGTGGACAAGGCTTAAAACGTGGCCCGGGCCACCAGCATTTGAGCGTCATACTACGCTGCCACAGGAATGACGAAGATTTCCCTCCTGAGCTTCAACCGTCCCAAGGAATCCTGTCGTTACAAGCGTGCCGCCTGAAATGAGGGATGATACCATGTTTCGGGCTAGTGAGTCGTCCGAGACAGTCAATTGCTAACACGATTCTTTCTTCTATCAAGGCATTAGTCGTACGGAGCTCTTCTTCCGTGGGGACTAAGGATGCATCGTGGGAGCGTAATGAGCGCTTAGTGCGCTCTAACTCATCGGCTGTGGATCGGTCGTGGATCACGCTAATGACTTTGATGCCATATAGCGGGCTAGTTGATAGACGAAATGACTGATAGTTCCGGTGGCTGCGTTCTGGATGATCCAGTCTCCGGGTTCGAGGTTGTGGTATTCCCTCAACAGGAAATAGGCAGAGGCAATTCCCATGCGCAAAATTGTCGCAAGGTGCAGCTTGACAGTGGACGGAACGAGGATGAGATCTTCTTCCATGAACACGGCATGCGTTCTCCACGTGCCCCTGTAGTGGGCTCGGAGAATAACGAGGTCGTCAACGGCCAGGTTGCTGACGGCAGAACTGATTTGGATAATGCGACCTGCGCCATCGGAGCCTGGAATTGCCCACTGCTCGCCGTCCTGGCCCGTGATGGTGCTCTTGGGCTTGGTAGGGTATTTCCCGAGAATAACGGGAAAGTCCAATGGGTTGACGGGGTTTCCGAGGAACTCAACGCCGACCTCCTCCGGCCGATAAGTGGGTATGGGCTGTGTGATGAGCTGAATCCCGTTGATTGGTTTGGGGGGGGCATAGGTGAAAAGGAGGGATTCGGCCATTGTGGTGTGAAAATTGGACTCGTGTGGAATGACGGAGGGAGAAGGTCTAGATGATCGGTGATACCGTCCTTTGCACTCGTCCGGATTGAACTTTTTATATAGCCTTGCTAATGAGACCGAAAATCTGTCACTGTTGCATAAGATCCGCACCGCGTTGCGCAAGATCTGACATTCATGAAGTGGATTCAGGAACCACCAATAAATGCTAGAAGCTTGACTGTACAAGACTTCAAGGGAGGAATCGAGCCACGGTCATACTGGTTGTGATTGTATTGGATGATTGAAGTGGATGGTTAGTCGAAGTGGATGGTTGATCGAGGTGGATTGACGAAGTGTTGGATGGTTAATTGAGATGGATAGTTGATTGAGGTGGATCATCGAAGTGGTTGTGACTAGTCTGCCGATGGTCCTGAAGCCGAAGCCCGCCACCGTCAGACTCGTTGGGATTGAAATGGATGATTGAAATGGATGATTGAAATGGATGATTGAAGTGGATGATTGAAGTGGTTGTAACCAGTCTGCCGATTGTCCTGAAGCCGAAGCCCGCCACGGTCAGACTGGTTGTAATTGAATTGGTTGATTGAGGTGGACGGTTGGTCGAGGTGGTTAATTGAAGTGCTTATGACTAGTCTGCCGATTGTCCTGAAGCCGAAGCCCGCCACGGTCAGACTGGTGAATGTTGATGATCGACGTGGCTGATCGACGTGGTTGATTGAGGGGGGTAATCGAAATGGTTGTCACCAGTCTCCCGATTGTCCTGAAGCCGAAGCCCGCCACGGTCAGACTGGTTGTGGTTGAAGTGTTTGATTGAGGTGGATGGATCATCGAGGTGGATGGTTGATCGAGGCGGATGCTAGTCTGCCGATTGTCCTGAAGCCGGAGCCCGCCACGGTCAGACTAGTTATGGTTGAATTGGATGATTGAGGTGGATGGTCGAAGCGGTGGATGGATGATCGAGGTAGATAGTTGATCGAGGCGGATGATCGAGGTAGTTGTAACCAGTCTGCCGATTGTCCTGAAGCCGGAGCCCGCCACGATCAGACTGGTTATGGTTGAATTGGATGATTGAGGTGGATGATCGAGGTGGATGGATGATCGAGGTGGATGGATGATCGAGATGGTTGATCGAAGAGGATGGTTGATTGAGGTTGGACAGTCCTGTCACAACTCTCAAACAAAAAGTCACGAATGTGATATAAGTCTAGGCTACCTCAGGCCGCGATCGGTGTCTTGCCTGGTTCGATACCAAGTTGAAACAAACCCAGGAGCGTTCGCTGTGCACTATGAAAATGAGGAACTCTATACATATCATGAGCTATGGCAGATTGTTAAACAAATTTCCTTCAACACCAGATTCGCACCGGGGTCTATTGTCCCATTATGCCTCGATCCCACTATAGAATTTGTGGCGGGCCTTCTGGCTCTTATGGTTTCTGGTGCAGCATACGTTGTTCTTGACCCAGGGGATTCTCTGAAGCATAAGTGAGCTATCGTGGCTGATGGATGCAGTTCTGTCAAACCACTATATAGATATTTGTTTGAACAAGCTATATTGGTGGAGGATCTCCTATCTAGGAATGGGGCAAACGAAGGATATTTCGTCAGCCCGGCACTCATTACTGCCTCAAGTCCATCGGATTTTGTCTATTTGATCTATACTTGTGGTAAGTGATAGCGTATCTAGGTAAGAAATATCGACTAAGGAGAGAACCTTGAAAGCTAGCACTCTTTTTAGGCTCTACCAGAACACCAAAGGAGTCTTATTGAGCCACCGCTCAGCAAGCCATGGGATCAGCTAATTCGAACTCAACGGCCGCAGGCGGCGGTTACTCTTTTATAATCCCGTGTTCTCCGCGGCCCAAAGAACTATTCTCGCTACACTGGCAAAGGGTGCCTGTCTCTGCCTGCGCGTCTAGCAACAGCCTTTCCCGAGGTGATTGTCAACCTCAAAATTGATGCTCTTGGCATCACTCCTTCGGCGCTGTCTCTGCTTTCTGCAGTCCGAGAGAGTGTGATTGGCGCGAGGTCAGGGTCTCAGCATAATCTTGGAGGGGACAGGAACTTAGCTTATTTGCTATGGCTGGCTAGCAGGTCTGGTTTGACTGTGTATTTTCGATATGGATTTTAGGACGTTTCTCACGTTATTTTGTGTGTCTGTGAGGATAAGGAGGAATGGAGTATGGTCGGCTTATGAGGGAGGTCCTGTGCGCGAGAGGATAAGAACGTGATGTTTATATGTTGGCATTTATAGATAGCTACATGTTAAAGTCCAAACTACGCCACTCTACTCGACCTGTGGCTTTCGAGGGGCTTTTGATATCTAAGTGCTAGTTTGACCTTCCTAATACACATCCCAGCGAAAACCTGGCTGTTTAGCTAGCATATCAACCACGAGCCGACTACATATTCCAAATACAGCTTCTACTTTACAGGAAAGTATCTTGTCATCTATTGAATCGATTGACTAATTATTCCTTGTCTCGTCATCGTAGAATGATGTCTCCACGCTGCCAAGACCAAGGCCCCAAAGACTCAAGGATGTAGAAAAAAAAAAATGTAAGGAAGTGTCATGCACACTCCCTATAATCATTGAAGGTGAACACGGCGGACCATCGAGGTTGACCGATAGAAGAATCATGGAAACAAGCTGCAAGCATAAGACAACCGTGAAGAAAAATCAGAATAACCAACCATTACAGCAGTGCAGATCTCGAATAGCTGTGCGCGAGATATAAAAAGATAAAAAGCGGAAGAAAAAAAAAAAAACAAGAGCAGAGGGGGAAGAAACAAAGCTTACGAAATAAAAGCAATTGATCATATCCCACTTTGGATAACTTTGTTTCCCCAAAACGCCGTCCGAGTGATGAAGCCGGGTATATCCAGCACCGTGATGCAACATGTACTGAGAATGAATAAAAAGAGTAGGGGGGAGCCAAAATAGGCATCGAGTACTCCCGGCCTTGCAAGACAAGACTCGACTCGAGCCATCACCCCATCACCCCTAGGTTAATATGGGCAAATTTGGTGTTTCATCAAAAATAAATAAACAGAAACAGAAACAGCTTTTGGTTGATACGAAGTGATCATAAACCCCATTTCGTCATCTAGCACCGATACCGAACATGCCTACCCCGTAGCTAGCGCTTCTTTCAGACATGGGGGTTGACACCTTAGCAACGTGGTCCTGATTAGATTAATTTTTTTAAAACAGGGTTGGCTAACTGCGGGAATGCGATACCTTCTTGCGTTTCTTCTTCCCAGATCCCTCGCCGTTTGAGTAGAATCCGGGGTCATCATCATCATCCACAAACCCTTCGCCATAGCCGGCAAAGCTATTATCATCGTAATTTCTCTTGCGACCTCTGCTAGGCCGTGGCCGCTCTGCTTCCTGTGATCGTGGAGATGCGGCATAGGATTGCATAGAGGGACGACCCGCAGTTTGAGCTGGGGCAGCCTTCTTGCTGGTCTCGCCTGGAGCTGGATTCTTGGCCTGCTTTTCGTGACCCAAGATATCTTCCCACCAATCATTGTTAGGAATCGGTCCAGGTTCCATTTGCATGGCTCGCGATTGAAGATTTTGTAGCGCCGAATCCATATCTGAGACCTTGATGGCCTTGCCATGCACCTTCTGGTTCTGCCATTCCTCTTCAGGCCATAGAGTCATGTACCTCAGACTGCCAGGAGCGCCAATCTCCTGCTTGTGGGGTTTGTTCCGTCCGGCGAGTCCCAGTCCTTTCAGCTTTCCTTCGTATGATTTCCTGAGGCGGTTGATTTTCTCCCCCGTCACGGGGTCCATGCGTGCTACCGAGTGCGCGATTGAGCCTAACCCATAGAGAGAAACGAGATCCACTGAAGGGTCTGGACCAGTAACGATCGGAGCTGTCAAGGAGTAAAAAGCAGTGTTAACGACTTCAGTTCCTAGAATGTGCAAGATCAGTGCATTCATGCAGCTACATGCAGCAGATGCCATGATGCATTTTGGGGAATCTTACAGCTCTTGCAAAGATGGAAAGCCGAGGTTAGCTCTTTCTGAAGAGAATCGAAATCGAGACTGAGGGTATCTGCCCGACGAGTTGGCTCTGTATCTACATCCATAGCGTCGGGATCTGTCGAGTGCTGGCCTTGCCCGTTGGCAAAATCGTTAGTGCTTTCAGTTTGCAAAGACTGCCGATCGTGGTCGGTGGGTCTGTGTTGTGTTTGTTGCTGTGTTTGTTGCTGAGCGGGAGCTGCTCCCGAGTTTTCTGCCGAGTCCTGTATCCCCATATTGAAAGATTTTCTCCCCTGATCCACATCCTCTGAAGTCGCATTCGCAGGGTGACTGCTGACGCTGCTGGCGGGAGTGGGGAACGAATTGGTTGTGCTCATTGTGGGCTGCTGAGAGACTTGGGTAGACATTGGCGCAGAGGACGGAGGAGAGGAGATGTTCGGAGGTTGGACCGTCGCCTGATTCGGTGATGTATGCGAGGATGTGAAGTTGGCGGCATGACTTTGTTCATTCACCGACATCAACGGAGGAGATGTCGGGGTCTGGGGAATGTGTTCCGAAGAAATGGGCAACCGATGGTTCTCTTTGAGAGACCCGGCGGGCGAGGAAGGCGAAGGAGGTCTTGCTTGAAAGGATGTGAGGTGAGTGCGATCAGACATGAGAGCCAAAGGAAAAGTTCAGCATGCAGAGACGGTATTAACCAGAGCGGCTCTGGATCCGAATCGCAAAGTTTGATCCCAGTGCCTGGAGAGGGGGGCACGATCGACGGTCGCTCAAGCAGGCGAACAGGTCATTCAACGGGCGGACTAGATCATCTGCATTCCAAGGGACTGAACTGAATCCCTTTAAGTGTTACAGATTGGGTGGCTGATGAGTGGCGGTGGTGAAGGAGAGTGATGATGGAGAGACGATCCTGTGGTCAAAGCCGGCGAGGATGACGGCGAATTGATCAATTCACGTGACCGGTCTTGGCCCGATGTACTTTATTTGGCACCTGCATTGTATATTGTATATTGTATATTCTATTGATTTTATGTATAAAGTATGCATTCATCTATTCATCCATTCATTGTCATTTGATCTCTTTATTCTCAATACAATGTGACAATAGGAGTGCATCGATCGAGGACGGCTCATATCATCGCCTTAGCGAGTGGCGAGAACAACAAGTCGCCCAAAAGCAAACTTTATTCAAAGACCTTTTGGGACTATATTTACCAGGATGAAATTCCTAATGCTTGCTTAAATATTTATTGCATTAACATATGTAGGATAGGATATACAACTTCGATTATGTCGCACTCTTTAGATGTTGGATGGTGGATCCCCGGTCTTACCTACGTCCATTAATATCCCGAGGTCCCAACCTATCAAGTGATGAAAAGAAAGATATATCGAATAAAACTTGAAACAATTGAAAATGAACTTAAAATAATTGAAAATGGTATCTCTTACTATCGAAAGATTATTCGCCGAGAAGAAACAAAGTCAGGTGGTCTAAGATGCCTCTCTCGGGCATGGGCGACCTCCAGCCCGATTGGTAACATGACCATTAAAGGAGTTATATTTCATAGATGTCAAAAGATGATCCAGTCCAAGACAGAATATCAGTGATATCTCGGGAATCAAAGCACAATTCCCCAAGAAACACCAGAACTCTTCAGTACAAAATGATCCCCGCAGACGAAGTGAGACCGACTGCATCAGAAATTCAAGACTGATAGTAAGCATTATACTCATTAACCAGCTGGGCAGATACATCGGGTATATTGTGTTCGAGAGAAGCCAGAAGCTCGATTTGCTCTTGTTGGCTGAGGGTGCGTTCACGCCATGAAGGGACTGGGAATGGCTCATTAAAGTACTGGGAGTACTGGTCTCCAATGGAGGTAGACCAATTCATGGGATCGACAGTCGCATCGGTGTATGCCAAATGACCAGCAGTTGTTGAGGCAAGTGAGAAGTTGGGGTCCCAGCCTTGCAGGCCGGGAACAACTGACGGTATCGTGTTATAAGGGGTGTTCGGGTCAATTGATACATCGGGGTAGAGCGTCGGCCCGACGTAGGCTCCTGACGTATAAAGCGGTGTCACACTATGGGCTGGAGGTGGTGGGTGCATGTCAAATGTAGAGGAAACCGATGGCATTTGTGATTCCTTGGACGGTATAGGGGCCACTGCAGGGGCCACTGCAGGTGGCGTTGATTCTTGAGTGAATGTAGGATCAGCCGATTGTCCCCTGGAATAAGTACCGTTTGAGGTGGTATCGCCGATTGATAGGTTGCCGCCACGGTGGTTG